GCGGCCGTGGGCCTGATCCGCGCCTCGGCGAGGCGAGGCAGGTTTGACCAGGACATCGCCCACATCATGGTCGACCATGCCCGCAGGCTCCACTACGAGATCGACGAGGCATGGCGGGACTTCGTCGAAGAACTGCGAGCCAAGGGACCTGAGATGTACAGGCAAAGGGCTGAGGATGCCCGATGCTGGACGCGGAGCGAGTGCCGCAGCGCCTGGCCTTCCTGGATGTGGTCTATGACGGCGACATACCACCCAGCGGGGTACCCGACAAATACCACTGGGAAGGGGAGCCCTCTGCCCTTGCGGACATCGTCGCTTGGGGGGTAGCGGGCAAGGGCAAGCGGCAAGCCCAAAGCAGTCGACAACCACTCCAAGCAGGCCTGGAGGGGCGTCTTAGGGACCAGGACTACGAACAGGGGTACCGATCCCCTGCGCTACGACGCCAAAACTCTGGCAGCCTTCCTGGACAGGCATGCATAAGGCAGGCGGTCGCAACGCAGCTTGACCGGTATCGCAGCCCCGCTCAACCTGGACCAGAGAAGCGCGACGCCGCGCTGGTAGAGCGCGGGGAGGGGACCCCGCCCACCGTCCAGGAGCCTGAATGGGATGCAGCCAAAGATCCTGCTGGGCCCAACCGCCAAGAATCGCCGCCCGCAGACGCCCAGAACGAGCAGCGTGATGCCCCGGCCGGGGCATCCGCTGACCAACCCCTGGCGCGCGCCAGTCGCGAAGTACACCTGGCCGACTCAAGTCCCGAGGAGGGCGATGACGAGGCCAGGGGCGCCAGTCGCAGTCCGAGCCCCCCGCCCCCCCAGACTGGGATCCCGGCCCCAGCGGGCGCCGAAGCACCAGTGCCCCGCTGGCCTCCACACCTGGCGACCGCCCGGACAACCCTGCCACGGAGCCGGGCGGAGGTCCGAGGCGCAGGAGCTGGGGTGCGGGTGGGCTTCTGCCCCACGGTCAGTCCCTTGGCCTCTCGGGGATGCACGAGGGCCTGGCCGCCCGGGTGCGTGCGGGGGACTGCATTTGCACCGGGGACGACGCGAGCGATCCACGAGCCGCCTGCTGGTGCACGCTGCCCGGCGAGCAATGAGAGCGCCTGCTCCCAAACGGCGCCCGAGGGATGGTCTTGGGGCCGGTCGAGGAGGTTCAGGCAGGACGGCGCCTCTGCGTCCGCACAGGCGGATCTAGGCTAACGGTGTGGGATTGGCCCAGTCAGTTACACCTCGCCTGGTTCTCCAGATCAGGCAAGCCCCATGGGGGCGCGCGGGGGGGGCGCGGACAAGGCTGCCGCGGAATCCACGCAGGCGGCCGACAGCACGGCCATGCACCCTGTCACAAATTTGCTGTATGAGGTCGGGACACCATGGAGACCCACCCTTTGGGCCGATGAAAAACCAGTTGGGCCGACAACGGGTCTCGGTGGAACCAGGGCCGTTACCGTCAGTGGGATCGGGCGTCCTGGGGCGAGAGAGATGCTGCCAGGAGCCCTCCGGTCGTAGAGGATGGAGCGAGCGCCAGGACCAACTGTATCGGGCCTTCAGGACGGGCATCCATTGGAACCCCCAATGGTTTCGCTCAGAGAACAGGACCGAGACGTGGGCGGAAGTGGTCAACCGCCTGAAAGGGACGCGCGGCGCGCCCTTCGCGGAAGGGTGGGACAAGGCCTGCGACCGGCGAGACGGGAAGGGCCAGGGCAAAGGCGCCTACAATCCCAAAGGCCACGAGGAGTTCACCGAGGCATTCTTGGCAGAATTGGCCACCGTGGACTACGTCATCTGGCGCCTCTGCAGAAACCGGCGATTGGACGTGGACCGGGACGCGGTCTGGCGAGAGCAGCAGGGCCGATAGGGGCAGAGTGTGGACAAAGGGCAGGGTGGCAAGATGCACAGTGAGTCGACCTGGCGCGCAGGGGACCAATCCCGGCTGCGAGGATTGTGAGGCGTGGAGGCCCAGAGGTGCAGACCGCCGCCCTTGGGGGCTCTCTCTTGGGCCCGGCATCTACCAAAGCGCGCGGGCGTCCAACCCAAGCTGCCCGCGCGTGTTCTCCACCAACCTGCGCGCCAATGAGGTGCGCCTGTCTACCTGGTTGCGCCAGTGTCCGTGGGGGCCTTCCAGCCCGGGAGACTCCCTGCGGTGGCGGTGCTGGTGGCCCGCTGGTTTTCTCCACTAACTTGCGCGCCAAGTCGGTGCATCCGTCTACCCGGCCTTGCTGACGACTGCGGTGAGCCTTCCAACCCAGGAGGCCCGCAACCCTGTCTCCCACCAGCATGCGCACCAGTTAGGTGCTTCCGTTCTACCTGGCTCCGCTCTTGGTGGCTTCAGCGCCGCCCTTCCAACCCAAGAGGGCGCCGCCTGCTACCTTTCCCACCAGCCTGCGCACCAGTTAGGTGCTCCCTGCCACGGCGCGCCCGCCGCCCGGGCTTCTTCGAATCGTCCAACCCAGGCGGTGCGCGGCCGCGTTCCCCCTTTCCTCGGCTTCGCCCACCCCCCTTTGTCC